ATTTCTGGCATCTACTCACCTTGTGTGAACATTTGGCTTAGTTTTATTGAAGTTAGATTTTTTTACCCAAAATCAGTATTTTTCATGACCGCGGATATGGAAAACTTTTCAGATTTGAACCATTTTGGGTAAAAACCTGAAATGTTTGTTTTCTTCCCGGATCCTGACTGTAGTGAGCTGAAATCTCTTGGGGATTCATTTCTGGCATCTACTCACCTTGTGTGAACATTTGGCTTAGTTTCGTGAAGTTGGATTTTTTTGCCAAAAATCTGTTTTTTTCATGACCGCGGATATGGAAAACTTTTCAGATTTGAACCATTTTGGGTAAAAACCTGAAATGTTTGTTTTCTTCCCGGATCCTGACTTTAGTGAGCTGAAATCTCTTGGGGATTCATTTGTGGCATCTACTCACCTTGTGTGAACATTTGGCTTAGTTTCGTGAAGTTGGATTTTTTGGCCCAAAATCTGTTTTTCTCACGACCGCGGATATGGAAAACTTTTCAGATTTGAACCATTTTGGGTAAAAACCTGAAATGTTTGTTTTCTTCCCGGATCCTGACTTTAGTGAGCTGAAATCTCTTGGGGATTCATTTCTGGCATCTACTCACCTTGTGTGAACATTTGGCTTAGTTTCGTGAAGTTGGATTTTTTTGCCCAAAATCTGTTTTTTTCATGACCGCGGATATGGAAAACTTTTCAGATTTGAACCATTTTGGGTAAAAACCTGAAATGTTTGTTTGCTTCCCGGATCCTGACTTTAGTGAGCTGAAATCTCTTGGGGATTCATTTGTGGCATCTACTCACCTTGTGTGAACATTTGGCTTAGTTTTATTGAAGTTAGATTTTTTTACCCAAAATCAGTATTTTTCATGACCGCGGATATGGAAAACTTTTCAGATTTGAACCATTTTGGGTAAAAACCTGAAATGTTTGTTTTCTTCCCGGATCCTGACTGTAGTGAGCTGAAATCTCTTGGGGATTCATTTCTGGCATCTACTCACCTTGTGTGAACATTTGGCTTAGTTTCGTGAAGTTGGATTTTTTTGCCAAAAATCTGTTTTTTTCATGACCGCGGATATGGAAAACTTTTCAGATTTGAACCATTTTGGGTAAAAACCTGAAATGTTTGTTTTCTTCCCGGATCCTGACTTTAGTGAGCTGAAATCTCTTGGGGATTCATTTGTGGCATCTACTCACCTTGTGTGAACATTTGGCTTAGTTTCGTGAAGTTGGATTTTTTGGCCCAAAATCTGTTTTTCTCACGACCGCGGATATGGAAAACTTTTCAGATTTGAACCATTTTGGGTAAAAACCTGAAATGTTTGTTTTCTTCCCGGATCCTGACTTTAGTGAGCTGAAATCTCTTGGGGATTCATTTCTGGCATCTACTCACCTTGTGTGAACATTTGGCTTAGTTTCGTGAAGTTGGATTTTTTTGCCCAAAATCTGTTTTTTTCATGACCGCGGATATGGAAAACTTTTCAGATTTGAACCATTTTGGGTAAAAACCTGAAATGTTTGTTTTCTTCCCGGATCCTGACTGTAGTGAGCTGAAATCTCTTGGGGATTCATTTCTTGCATCTACTCACCTTGTGTGAACATTTGGCTTAGTTTTATTGAAGTTAGATTTTTTTACCCAAAATCTGTTTTTTCATGACCGCGGATATGGAAAACTTTTCAGATTTGAACCATTTTGGGTAAAAACCTGAAATGTTTGTTTTCTTCCCGGATCCTGACTGTAGTGAGCTGAAATCTCTTGGGGATTCATTCCTGGCATCTACTCACCTTGTGTGAACATTTGGCTTAGTTTCGTGAAGTTGGATTTTTTTGCCAAAAATCTGTTTTTTTCATGACCGCGGATATGGAAAACTTTTCAGATTTGAACCATTTTGGGTAAAAACCTGAAATGTTTGTTTTCTTCCCGGATCCTGACTGTAGTTAGCTGAAATCTCTTGGGGATTCATTTGTGGCATCTACTCACCTTGTGTGAACATTTGGCTTAGTTTCGTGAAGTTGGATTTTTTGGCCCAAAATCGTTTTTTTTCATGACCGCGGATATGGAAAACTTTTCAGATTTGAACCATTTTGGGTAAAAACCTGAAATGTTTGTTTTCTTCCCGGATCCTGACTTTAGTGAGCTGAAATCTCTTCGGGTTTCATTTCTGGCATCTACTCATCTTGTGTGAACATTCTGCTTAGTTTCGTGAAGTTGGATTTTTTTGCCCAAAATCTGTTTTTTTCATGACCGCGGATATGGAAAACTTTTCAGATTTGAACCATTCTGGGTAAAAACCTGAAATGTTTGTTTTCTTCCCGGATCCTGACTTTAGTGAGCTGAAATCTCTTGGGGATTCATTTCTGGCATCTACTCACCTTGTGTGAACATTTGGCTTAGTTTCGTGAAGTTGGATTTTTTTACCCAAAATCTGTTTGTTTCATGACCGCGGATATGGAAAACTTTTCAGATTTGAACCATTTTGGGTAAAAACCTGAAATGTTTGTTTTCTTCCCGGATCCTGACTTTAGTGAGCTGAAATCTCTTGGGGATTCATTTCTTTTATCTACTCACCTCGTGTGAACTTTTGGCTTAGTGTCCTGAAGTTGGATTTGTTGGCCCAAAATCAGTATTTTTCATGACCGCGGATATGGAAAACTTTTCAGATTTGAACCATTTTTGGTAAAAAAACTGAAATGTTTTTTTTCTTCCCGGTTCCTGACTGTAGTGAGCTGAAATCTGTTGGGGATCCATTTCTGTCATTTACTTCCCTTGTGTGAACATTTGACTTGGTTTTGTGAGGTTGGATTTTTTGGCCAAAAATCAGTATTTTTCATGACCGCGGATATGGAAAACTTGTCAGATTTGAACCATTTTTGGTCATAAAAATGAAATGTTTGTTTTCTTCCCGGATCCCGACTGTATTGAGCTGATATCTCTTGGGGATCCATTTCTGTCATCTACTCACCTTTTGTGAACATTTAACTTGGTTTCGTGAAGTTGGATTTTTTGGCCAAAAAACAGTATTTTTTATGACCGCGGATATGGAAAACTTTTCAGATTTGAACCATTTTTGGTCAAAAAACTGAAATGTTTGTTTTCTTCCCGGATCCTGACTGTAGTGAGCTGAAATCTGTTGGGGATCCATTTCTGTCATTTACTCACCTTGTGTGAACATTTGACTTGGTTTTGTGAGGTTGGATTTTTTGGCCAAAAATCAGTATTTTTCATGACCGCGGATATGGAAAACTTGTCAGATTTGAACCATTTTTGGTCATAAAAATGAAATGTTTGTTTTCTTCCCGGATCCCGACTGTATTGAGCTGATATCTCTTGGGGATCCATTTCTGTCATCTACTCACCTTTTGTGAACATTTAACTTGGTTTCGTGAAGTTGGATTTTTTGGCCAAAAAACAGTATTTTTTATGACCGCGGATATGGAAAACTTTTCAGATTTGAACCATTTTTGGTCAAAAAACTGAAATGTTTGTTTTCTTCCCGGATCCTGACTGTAGTGAGCTGAAATCTCTTGGGTGTTCATTTCTGGCATCTACTCACCTTTTGTGAACATTTGACTTGGTTTCGTGAAGTTGTATTTTTTGGCCAAAAATCAGTATTTTTCATGACCTTGGATATGGAAAACTTTTCAGATTTGAACCAGTTTTGGTAAAAACTGAATTGTTTGTTTTCTTCCCAGATCCTGACTGTAGTGAGCTGAAATCTCTTGGGGATTCATTTCTGGTATCTACTCACCTTGTGTGAACTTTTGGCTTAGTTGCGTGAAGTTAGATTTTTTGGCCAAAAATCAGTATTTTTCATGACCACGGATATGGACAACTTTTCAGATTTGAACCATTTTTGGTAAAAACTGAAATGTTTGGTTTCTTCCCAGATCCTGACTGTAGTGAGCTGAAATCTCTATGGGATTCATTTCTTGCATCTACCCACCTTGTGTGAACATTTGGCTTAGTTTTGTGAAGTTGGATTTTTTGGCCAAAAATCAGTATTTTTGATGACTGCTGATATGGAAAACTTTTCAGATTGAGACCAGTTTTGGTAAAAAACTGAAATGTTTGTTTTCTTCCCGGATCCTGACTGTAGTCAACTGAAATATCTTGGGTATTCATTCCTGGCATCTACTCACCTTGTGTTAACATTTGGCTTAGTTTCGTGAAGTTGCACTTTTTAGCCAAAAATCAGTATTTTTTATGACCGCGGATATGGAAAACTTTTCAGATTTGAACCTTTTTGGTAAAAAAATGAAATGTTTGTTTACTTCCCAGATCCTGACGGTAGTGAGCTGAAATCTCTTGGGGACTCATTTCTTTTATCTACTCGCCTTGTGTGAACTTTTGGCTTACTTGCGTGAAGTTGGATTTTTTGGCCAAAAATCAGTATTTTTCATGACCGCGGATATGGAAAACTTTCAGATTGGAACCATTTTTGGTCAAAAAACTGAAATGATTGTTTTCTTCCCGGATCCTGACTGTAGTGAGCTGAAAACTCTTGGGGATCCATTTCTGCCATTTACTCACCTTGTGTGAACATTTGACTTGGTTTCGTGAAGTTGGATTTTTTGTCCAAAAATCAGTTTTTTTCATGACCGCGGATATGCAAAACTTTTCAGATTGGAACCAATTTTTTTGGTATTAATGAAACTACTCCATTAATAAGATTTTTCGTCGGGTTGATGTAGATCAAATATGGTTTTGTCCTTCAATGACTTATAAACACTGTATACTCAGTGTGTTACCTCCCGAGTGAAAGTTGGAAAATATCACTCATGTGGGACTCGAACCCACGACCTCCTGCTTTCTAGTGCAGATGTCTTACCACTTGACCACTGAGCTAACGGGATCGGTTGGCTGGTTCGGTTCTGTAAAAAATGTGTTTTGACATATTCATTAGTTTATTATTGTTTCAACGCCATTTGTACCATTTTCCTATTTCTATCTCTGTAATCCTTTAATGTTTTTCTGTTCCTTTTTTTAACGGCTCAGGTGTCAAATATCTCTGAAGTAACAAGTCTCTTAAGAGCATGCGTACAACACCCTGCCATGGTAGTCTGCAATATCAACGACACTGGGGTTACCAGTCAGGAACCAACTACACCAAGTACCGGTATGTACACAAGTAATAATCAGTTTGACAAAATATAATTTTGGACGAGGGCCGTCCCGAATATATGGAATATTCAAATATTCGAATATTCGAATAACTGTTTGCCGGTTTGAATATTCGAAAACACATGACTGTGATGCTAGCTTAATCATAAAGTTGCGGCGTTTTATTGTCAGGCATTACTGGACCAAGCCCAGTCTAATGTGGCTCTCGCGAACCCGGGATTCCCGGGTTCGTATTCATGAGCCCCCTACTAAGATAATGGCTATTTAATCAGTTGACGACCATAAATATGTTCGCACATACTAATAAAACAGGTGGGAGCGCAGTGGTTTGTCCTTGATAAGCAGTCAGGCTATCCCCAATGTACGTGCGTCTGTTATCCAGAGCTAGCCTGCCTCCCATCAGAATTTGAGTGACGAGTGATGAGCCAGTCAAGTGCTGGAAAGCTACCTACAGCTAAGAAAGCCACATTAGACTGGGCTTGGTCCAGTAATGTGCTAATTTTTTTCGTCGACAGTAACTTTTTTTGGTTGACAGTGGTTCATTGTTTCTATCCTTTTAGCAGGTTAAAGACTTTGACAGTTAACATACTTACTGCAAAACACTCCATATTGATCGCCGCATGCACATTTTAACTTACACGCTCTGCATGCAACTTTTGACTGGCGTGGCACGCAGTTGCAGCTGGCAGTTACGAATATCCGAATATTTGGTCAAACACAGTTGCGAGTAATCGAATACTAAATTATTTGAAAACGGACAGCCCTATGTGGGACATACCATTATATCAGTTGGATTGGATTGATTTTGTGTCAGTTATTCATGGAGAAATCAGATGTTTTCAACTGCAGATTCCTACTTGTCAAATCAAACTTTTTTTTATCATCTTTAACCCTAACTCCCTAGGCCTTTTTGCTAGGATGTAGCCTCAATCCTGCAAAATCCTCCAATTGGCCTCATGGAAAATAGCATATCCCGCAAATTCCTTTAGTCATTCTTGAATATGGTCCATGGAGGGGTGACCACTGCCTGAATCCTGCAAAATCCTGCAGCAGTGACTGTCAATTTGTTGAAGCTGGCCAGTGACATCCTGGAGCAGTACGGAGGATTTCAAGCATAATCCAAGCCTATATTTATGCATAGCTGAGCAAAAACAACACAAGGTCCGGCCCAAGACCTTGCAAAGTAAAGTGCATCCTACAAAATCACTTTTGCCTTGTAACCTCAATCCCTCCAAATTCCTCCACTTTGGCAAAGAGGATTTTGAAGGATTCAGGGTGGATAGGGTATCAGGTTGAACGATGAAATCAACTAGATCCTGTTCGAGTCAGTTTCTTGGTACAACATTATTATGTTTGAAACTGAATCTGTTTCTGATCCTGAAAAAAAGATTAGATGGTTGTGGTGTTTGAAGATCCCATTTTGAGTGATTTTTCTCTGATTTCCTCAGGCACGGATGTTTTATTCGACAGCGCTATCAGGAGTAACTTGACCTCACTGGGCGTGGCCAACTGTTCACTGAGCGACGACATCATCGCAGCCTTGGCCAATCAGCTGCCTGGATCACTACCAAACCTGTCTGAACTGGATCTGACCGGAAACGGTGCAGTGACAGCAGACGCACTTCCTTTCCTTATGTCGCTCATTGGAGCAAGTAAGTGTGGAGCACAACATTTATCACAGTTATTAATAACTCTTTGAAAATAAATAAGCCGTTGATTGGCTATTAGCATGTTTGTTTGCATTTTGCATAAAATGTCATCAAGCTAGAAATCTTGCTAATTATCTGTTTTTATGGTAAAGTCGGCAGTTGTTATGATCTGTGAAGTTTTATCTAAAGTTTCTTAAACCCATGTCCATACACTATGCTCCATGCAATCTAAATGAAGTAAGAAAAAAAGAAGACATGCACATGGAGTTGGCAAATAAATTGTCTTTTTAGACCGTCCATGTGAAATTAAGAAATTTAGGTAATCTCTATTTTCCTCCCTAATTATGTTAATTACTGTAGGTGATCATGCAAGTGGATTACAGACCCTTCGCCTAGGATCCCTCAGCACCAACAGTCTCCCGTCCATTATACAAGGCTCCACAGTGACCTGGGGTAACCTCAAAAGCCTTGACCTCCGCCGGGTCAAGATGACCCCAGTGGAGGTGGGAAGCTTGGGGGCACTGTGCACTAGACCGTCGGGTCTTGCCGATCTGTGCCTCGATGGATTGAAGTTGTCCAAGTCAGATGCTTTGGAGAAACTTCTGGGCTCAGGTACGTTGTGGTCTTATAACAAAAATTAACGGTAATATTCCCCCCCCCCCCCTTCCCCGCATACAAAAATAATCAAAAATTTGAGGATTTCACGGGATTTTAGTAGGTGGTTAATTTTGGCTTGATGCTTAATTCCAGCTCATAGGATTTTGGAAGGTTAAGGAACCTGAAGTCCTAGCTCAAATGCCTCTGGAATTGTTAGGGTAAAGGAAACAAGTATGAACCAGTCTGAGAAAACAAGTATCATAGATTAAAACAAAAAAATTAACCCTTGGTTTACTGGGTTTTTTGTTCAAACTTTTTTTCAAGCTTTTGCACAAGCTTTAAAAAAAAAGAACAAAAGTAAATCAAGTTGAATGAATATTTCCTTATCTACACAACAATACAGTGATAACCTTCAGAGATTTTATAATTTAAAAAAAAAAAAAAATATTCAACCAAACTGAAGTTCAAACTAAATGGTGTTATTAAACCCATCAGGCTCATCACGCAGTATAGAGTCACTGTCATTGGCTGGCTGTGCACTACAAGACTCAGACCTTGCACCAATCACAGCTGCTGTTACAGAGGGCTTGGCCATTCGGTCCCTCAAGCTGCCGGCCAATAGAATCACGGATACTGGAGCAGGTAGCCTGATGGAGGCCTTTGCAGCGAGAGGCACTGAGTGTCCTCTGGCAGAGTTGAATTTAGCCAATAATCAGGTAAGATGGAGTGTAAAGAGACCAATCAATGAAGCTCCTCCTATAAAATTGTGAAATTTCTTGCCAACTCTTAATTTGAAGCGGTTGTGGGGGTACTTATGCACGGAGTCTATTGATGTCAATTCGGGCGATTCACAATGCAGTGTGCCACCAAGAGTTTGCCACAGAGAGTCCATTTTTCAAGTTTACGGTCGACAAAACATGGCCCATTTGAATGAGTGTCAGTAGACAACTTGAGCTAATTTGTCATAGATTGGGGCATAACGTTCTGCCGTCTTACAAAAACACCATATTGATAAAAAGAAAAGAAAAGGGCAAACAGATACCTAAACATAGGCTTACGTAACTACTGACCGGAAAAACGAACAATTTCAAATGTCCCGCGGTGCGAATTTGTCGACTATCTCCCACAATGCACTGGGAAAAATGAACTCTCAGTGGCAAACTCTTGGTGGCGCACTGCATTGTGAAACGCCTGAATTAAATTTGGCTCATTCTGTTGGCTCATTCAATCTGTTGGCTCATTCAATCTTTGCTTTTCTTTCTTTTCTATACTAGCATTCACTGGTCTACTTTGAAAACTTTTTAAAGGCTTTCTCAGCCATGCTTGCAGTGGTAGGGAAAGTGAGCTAAGGCAACTTTTAGTTTGTAATTTTTCAGTGGTTTGTGATTTTGTTTCCGATCTTAAGATCCGTGACGGCTGCACAGAAACTGTGTCCAAGTTGATCAGCACGGCACCCAGACTTCACTCACTGCTCTTGGGACACAACGCCTTCAGCGGGACCAGTCTCAAGACAATACTGGCCTCCCTGTGCACCATGGATTGTACAAGCCTCAGAGTTCTTGATCTGTGCAGTCAGGACTCCCAGGTGGATGAAAGCGAAATGGAGGAATTACTCAGCTTGGTAGCTGAAAAATTGGGTGAGGACATTTTATATCTTGAATACTGTAGATTTAATTGATTTTGGTGCCGTTTTGAACCAACAAGCTAATCCAGTAAACTTGGTGTATATTTTTTAAATGTATTTGAAAGGCTACAGGATGGATGAGGCTGAGGGTGTCAAACGGTGTGGTACAAGCCCCCTACCCTGCCACCCCCAGGGGCTGACAATCAACCTGACAGGGCTGGGGGGCTCTGGGGAGACAGGCCAAGCCCTGGACAGTCTGGCGGTCAAGACAGACTACGTGAGGGTACAGCGACCATGGCTGGCACTGCAGCATTCACTGGAGATTTCTGATTGGCTGAGAGGGTCGCTTTCATCAGGTATGAAAGGCAGTGATTGGCTGAAAGTAAACCTGCTTGATTTAGCCGATGCCGTGTTGAAAGTCTCTCAAGCAGCTAAAAGCAACTCACTATTAAATACTGCAGGAATGGAAAGTGAAGAAAACAAAAACCATGTGCAATTATAAAGAGAAAGAGAAATCTTGAAAATTCACTTAAAATGAGATAACACAGAGTTCCAAGAATTGCTTGATTCAAGTTTAGGCATTTGGCAAATGTTTAATTATGGAATTAAAAATCTTTTTGTTAGTCCTGATTTGTGTGCTGTGCATAAAGTAATGATGAATTATTAAAGGTGTATGTTTAATTCTTGGTTTTGACTGCTGTAATAATGGCATATTTTCAAAGTTGTTTATTATGGTACATTTCAATATCTTTATATTTACACCTGTATTACGTGTCTGATTGCTTAAAAATGCTTTGATAACTTGAAGCAGTGTCAGAAACACCTGACCCACACATTCAGACAACATAATTTGGTACACGGAGAAACTTGTTCCCTGGAACATGACCTCTTGAGTCCTCATCAAAGCAATGTGATTCTTCCAACAGAATGTAACAACTCGGATTGTGGCCAGTGCAGCTTGACGTCAGTTGAGTGGTGTCAGGTTCTAGGCTTACCAAAGGACCCCTCGCTACCCTCATGGCTTCAGGTAATTATCTGAAATTAATAGAATCCAGAACTTTACTTGATCCCTGTTATCCATCATTCATCAGATGGAAAGAAGGGGGGGGGAACACAACAGCTCAAATTACCTCCATTTCAGAGGGAAGCTCTTCAGTCAAAAGTCGTTATAATGCCAAGGAAATTCTGTCATAGATTGCATCGAAATTCTTAGATTACTTCTATTTCTCGTTTGTGAGGGCAACAAGAGTGTTTCGTTTTAGTTTTACAAATATTAGTACTTGTCGTGATTTTCGGGTTGGTATGTTTTGCAGAATTTTAATGCTCAACACAACTTTTCCAAAATTTAGGAAGAAATGGCGAGAGAAGATTTTTGGAAAAAATATCAACAGTTTGGCCATTCTGACAGGAACATTACCACTAATGATTCTGCATTTAAAATTTCTAATTCTATAAAAAAAAAATGGAAATTGAAAACCAAGTAGCTGTGAGATTTGCAATATTTGAAAGAAAAACAGTGATAATTAAACTTCTTCGCATCTTTGATCAATTAATCAATATGTAAGGGAAACTTGTGAATCATTTACATATGTCCTGTTTGTAATTTTTTGCATTGCTATTTGCCAGGTGTCGGAGCATCGCTCCAGAGCCGTGTACTTGACTGGACTATCAGGGGGCGTGTCAGCCGGCAAGCTGGAGGGTGATCTGGAGTCAGAGGCTGACTGTCTTGTCAAGGAAATCTGCATCATGAAGGTAGACTAAGGGTTAGGGGTCATTGAGGAGGCAGGAGAAACAAGTAGGGTGGGGAAGGGAGGGGAGGGGTTGAGATGGTGAAGTGATGGCTGTTGGGGTGTTTCAACTGGCAAGCTGGAAGGTGATCTGGAATCAGAGGCTGACTGTCTTGTCAAGGAAGTCTGCATCATGAAGGTAGGTAAAGGGTTAGGGGTTGAATGAGGAGGCGAGGAAAGCGGGGTGGGGAAGGGGAGGGGTTGAGATGGTGAAGTGATGGCTGTCAGGGTGTATCAATTGGCAAGCTGGAAAGCCATCTGGAATCAGGGCTCACATACCTCGTCAAGAAGGTCTACATCATGCAAAGTGTCATGAGTCAATTGAGGAGTGGGGGGGGAGGGGGAAACAAGCTGGGTGGGGAAGGGGAGGGGTTGAGATGATGAAGTGACTGGGCTGTCTGGAAAGATGATCTGGAATCAGAGATTGTATGTCTCTTTAGGGAAGTCTCCATCATCAGGAGTTGTTTTAGAGGGTGGGGGGGGGGGGGAGGAGGAGGGGTTGGTGCAGGAGAAGAATTGACATGGTAAGCAGACTGGGTACGGGTGGGAGGGGGGTTGGCTGGATAGATGTACAACGATCTGGAATCGAAGACTGGTTGCCTCATCAACATTTCGAGAAGGTTGGGAGAGGAGGTGCTTGGTCGGTAACCTCTGTGTGTACTTGTGGGGTAAGATGTTGTCAGATGGTGAGGTGGTATTGTCCAACATAAAGAGTTTGTGCAGATGGATCTAAAATGGAATAAAAGTTTAGTCAGGATGAGTGTGGGAAGGTCAGTATCGACTTTCAGTATTGACTTCTTATTTTTTTCTTCACACATGCCCTTCCATTAACAGCCTCCCCCCCCCCCCCCCCGCCCAAGAAGACACACCCACACTCACCAGCTCCACCGCTACCAACACCATGATGACATCCAGTTTAATACATCTTTTATTGACACTGTATTTGAATTGAGGCTCAACATTTTGCAACTGTTTTTGAACAAACACGAGGTACCAAAATTATTATTCTCTTTACAATTTCTTTACTGTAGGATTTCATTGTGAGGCAGCCTAACGGGATAGCCTGGGTGTTGATGGCTGATGACTCCTCAGTTCAGAAGGCTCTGGAGTTCTTCCACGAAGGAAAAGTATGAGACTGTTGACTCGTGATCTGAATCCGTAGTAAAATAGACTGATACGTTAAACCCCAACCTGTGATGGTTTGAGCAATCGCAGATGTGACTTGCTCAACCAAACGTCCGACAAAAAGGCAGATATTGGTGCATTAATGCATGCCATGCGCAGCTGGAAGGTACAGTGCTAGCTAGCATGGGTGTCGCGAGGGATGGGCTGGGGCAACAGTAGGCGCTTGCTCCTCCTCCTCCCCCCTTGAGAGAAAAAAAAGACAAGGTGCAAGGTCATTGTTGTATTCATATAATGTAACCCTCGAAACCAGCTGAAAGGGGCTTAAAACGCAGCTATACACCACTGACCTATAGGTATCACGGTCTTGAACGAAGCGTCGAGTGATGTCCAGCACCACCTCTCCTTTCGATTTTTCCACGGCTGGTTATTTCTCTCTTGGCTGTTTTCCCTCCACAAAATAAATAAATCCTGGCGACACCCATGGGTGCTTGGATTGTTTCCCAAATAAGAAGGGAGCGGGGCTTATGACCAAACTCAGAATCGTCCTTTAGTAAATACAAGCCTGTATTTATAGTCTGTAATCAAAAGATTTCAGTTTACTGGTTGAAAAGAAATGAAAGTTGTGCATTTTTTCCCTCCATCAACCCTCAGGCTCTTATGTTCAGCCAACCCTACGTGATATCCCAGGTCAAGCTGTCCGTCATAGCTAGTGATTCAGAGGGAGAAGATCTTACAAAAGCAAGGTGAGTAACTGCATGGCTATATTTGATGGACTTTCTGAAGGATTGCAGCATATCTCTGATTTAGGTTTATATTGTAGCGAATGCTTAAGATTTGAAAAGTTATGGCACATAAGCAGGATAAGTATGCATTTTCGTTTGAACTATTTTTTTGTTCTCCACAATACTTTGTCCATCAATTACACTTGATCATAAGTGTTGTTAGAGCCCAAGAATGAAGAAATTTGGAGACCACCAACTTTAGACAAGATTAAGAAAATTTCTGATAAAGGATTCGAAATCAGTCCTCTTGTTTTTGGTTCAACTATGTTATTTATTCTCCTGTAGAGTTGATCTGGAGGCAAGGGCTCAAGAAGCGGCAAGGGAAAATGCAGAGCACCGTGCCCTGTTAGCATCAAGCTACCAAGCTTCTCAAGAGAGACATGAGTACGCCAAGGCCAACCCAGCCTATGCTGATGGACGGATCTGGTGATTGAGAGTTAGAGATTCAGCTAGGAGACAGAGCGAACCACTCAGTCACACCCTGTCAGTATCCAGCTAACTCGCCTCTCGAGAAAGACAAGAGTATGCCAAAGCCAACCTGGACTATGCTGATGGAAGGATCTGGTGGTTGAGAGTTAGAGATTGGGCTAGGAGACAGAGCAAACCACACCCTGTTAGCATCCAGCTTACACGCCTCTCGAGAAAGACAAGAGTATGCCAAAGCCAACCTGGACTATGCTGATGGAAGGATCTGGTGGTTGAGAGTTAGAGATTGGGCTAGGAGACAGAGCAAACCACACCCTGTTAGCATCCAGCTTACACGCCTCTCGAGAAAGACAAGAGTATGCCAAAGCCAACCTGGACTATGCTGATGGAAGGATCTGGTGATTGAGAGTTAGAGAATGAGCTGGAAGACAGAGCAAACCACACCCTCTCAAGAAAGAGGCGTGTTTTGTGTTTGAGTGTGATTGTAAGCTGTTCTGATAAATTGTTGTGGATTTGTTCTTGTCTTTTAAACTGTTTTTAACACACGGGGTGTTGATGTTCATGTTTTTAATCATGATGGTTAATAATAAATTGAATAAATTGAATTGAAATTGAATTGAAGACATGAGTATACCAAGGCCAACCCAGCCTCTGGTGTTGGAAGGATCTGGTGATTGAGATTTAGAGATTTAGCTAGGAGATGGAGACAACCACACCCTGTTAGCATCCAGCTACCAAGCCTCTCAAGAGAGGGAAAGGAGGATGCTGCAAGTCCCACCCTACCGTAGACAAAGACAGCCACACCCTGAAGTTACCTGAAGTTTAGACATGCCGTCCCATTGGACATGTGCTGATGAAAGGATCTGATTTTGAGATTCAGAGATGCTGTTTGTAGACATGCAGAGAGCCACAACTTTTTAGCATTCCAGGAAAGAAGATTTCTAGATTTCTAGAACACGCAGTTTTGAAATCGGTATCGTTTTGGAAGATGAGAAATGTTTCCTTTTATATACATGTTCAGTGTATTATATTTGAAGTGGGTTTGATATTTTGTGCAATGCTATGCAAGATTTTAGGTTTGGAGGTATACAGATCCCAGTTTTCCATTGACCAAACCTAAGTCCAGCTATGATATGTTGGGAAATTAAATATTACATTTAAACCAACTAATGGATGTTTAAACATGGACTAAAGATTTGCTTGCCTTTTTTTAGATTAAAGGTTTGGTGTTTTCAAACAATTTTATAGATCTATGCATAGTTTGACAAATGCTTGTTATCCGTCCAAACGAATGTTAGTCAGTGAAATATTTCCCCAAAATTCCATTTTTGTAACAGTAAATTTGATATATACATGTATATCGGATTTTATTTTAGTTCAATTGCAGTTTCAGAGAGTTCCATATTAAATTTTATTATTTAAGGTAATGATGTCGTACAGTCTATATTTGTTTATAACAAATAACAACAATAAGAATATGGATTTTTAATAATAATAATAATAATAATAATTTGGGAGGCTAATCATCCTTACTCGCAGCTGGTATGCTACATTGCGAAGGACGCGGCTACAACGTGGTCGGGCCGCTGGCACGTAAAGGCGCCTATGGCTGCCAGCCGCATCGACCCATATTTGACCACGGAGCACAGCCTGAGATCGAAAGTGTTTGATTTTTCCGGAGGGAGGAAAACCGGAGGGCCCGGAGAAAAACCCTCGTGGCACAGGAGAGAACCAACGCACAACTCTACTCACATGTGGTCCGCAGCCAGGATTCGAACCGTGGTCACCTTGGTGAGAGGCGAGCGCTTTACGCACAAGCCACCCATGCCACCCATGCCATTTGAATAGCACACATCAACCAAACAGGTTATCACGGTGCACCCCCAATATTGTTATTACCCCTGCTCACTGGTCCTTCGGAAAAATTCCAAAGGCCATCTCAGGGGAGTTCATGTATATACAGCTCCATCTGTCATATCGGTGCAATCAGCTGAAATCAAACACATAACCATCGCTAGGGTACCCATTCACTCCTGGGTGGGGAGAAGCAATGACTAACAAAGTGTCTTGCCCAAGGACATACACACCACCACCCAAGGCTTGTCTCGAACCCACATCCGGCAGAATTAAGAAGTTGGGATGGGCTACTTTGAACCCCCTTCACATTTATTTGTGTATTTGTATATTGGCATTTCGGAAACAATATCCGTATACGGTGTGGTTATCTCAAAGGAGTATCCTTTGATGTTTTAGTTTAGTAACAATGAATGCAGAAGAGATTCATGCCTACCCAAAAGATACCAAACCATTGCCCTCAAACGCCGCCTTAACGCATGACCTCTGTAGCTCACAGTGCCGTGTTGTCTCCGTTTCAAACTGAACTTCTTGGAGAAAGTTGTGCATGCACCTCGTCCGCAGCGATCCATCAACGCCCGAGCCGTGAATCTAGAATCCCCTTGGGCCGTGATCGGGCGTCATGAATTTGTCACGCTGAAATCGAACTACATTTATCTCTTTTTATGGAGGAATAAGAACTTATTCCTCCATGCTCAGTTCATGTTAATGATGTGCAGGTACGGTCTCTAGCCGGCTTGTCTAGACAGTAGCGGTTGGGGGGGGGGGGGGCGTCCAGCCGCTGACTAATGTTTTGAAACTAATAAAATGGGGCCAAAAATAATATATGGAATGCTAAAGTTCCTAAATTTATTCTCAAATTCCCATAGAATGAAGGAGAAAGCATCGTAGATTTCAAAATTATTCCGTGGCAACCCTCGGCCTGGATCCCCTAGCAAGTCGTGCTTGTGCCCAACAACACCCACTCAACACCCACTTCCTTCATATCACCCCCCCCCCCCCCTGTGTCCTAAAAGCTCCGCCCCTGCTTGATAATAACATTCTTGCGATCCAGTTAGGATAATCCGTGAGCTTCCTATCATTCTGCAGGGCCCGGATTTTACGGAGCTGCTAAGTGGGGGTAAAATGCTCAGTATTTTTTTCTCGTTAAAAAAAGAAGTCAGCTCAAGAAGTCAGCTCAAGAAGTTCCTAAGCACGGAAATATTTGCTTAGTAGCAACTACTAGGTTACCAGCTAAAATCAGTGTTGTCGTCGAGACCTAGTCCGAACATTTTGGGACTCTCACTACTGTGTGCCCACATTAAAAACGTACAATACAAGAAAATAGATTGGCACCTGAAACAACCAGTACAACAACATCTTCAGTGCTGCATCAATCAACTGTGCCAAAAGAAACATCTGGCATGTCTGGTACTGGTCTCTATTTTTACACATTTCTCCTTAGTCAGCCATCAGACTAATGAAGAGGTCAGTCTTTTCAAACGGTTGGACCATGGTTGGACATGTACCAGTACTAGTATGTCTACCCTCTCAGGTGCAAAATGTTGAAGAAAAGTCTCCTTTAAAAATTGAATTAAGACTCCAAACTTGGTTGGCGCGTGGAGGAATTCCTCCATGGTTGATGAAATACTGAGGACCTTGTCCTTTGCCTCAAGAAAATCTTGGAAAATGTCAGCCAAAGAGTGAGTACTGTATGGCCTGATTTTGTATTGCATGTTTTTCAGCACTCAAAGTCCCAGTCTGGTGGAGACCCCGCAGGATCATCACAAGCCCAACACAAAACCTCCAGGGGACCAGACTCCAGTCTCGTTGCCAATGAACTGCTGCAAGGGCATTCCTTTGTCATTGTTCTTGCCCTGTTACTTGTGGTCGGTCTTGCCCAAGCAAGCGGTGGGTACAATCGTAGTGCCTGCTCTACAATAATTGACTGGTCCTGTGATGTCTCGAGTCTCGACTACAACACTGGCAAAATGTCATGCGATGTGTGCTCCTCGACTCTCATGACGGGTTCTAATTAGCCGATTTTTGCTCAGTGCATAAGCTTGCTCAGTGCATAAGCTTGCTAAGCTTGCACACCAAGGATTTGGCTGGGGGGGGGGGGGGGCTCACATTTTTTCCCTCAAAAATGTGTTGCCCCAAATTGTTGGCCGCAGAACAATTTTTTCTTGGGGGACGGACTATTTTGACGTTGGTGGCGCCATATTACACCCCTATTATACTTTCTCGAAAATAGGCCGCATACATAGCACCGCGGTCAAATCGTGAGACACTAAAAAGAACAAATTGCCCCAGCCCCCCCCCCCCCCCCTTGGGTACGTGCGCCACTGTGATCAGCGACAATTTTTTCTACGAGGCTGCTATTAAGTGCTATGCAAATGGGTCGTGGTCCGTATTCAACACATAACAGGTATGGCTGGTATTAAACCTAATTCTTTTTTGGGGGGGGGGGGACTGCAATTTTGCAAATATATGGCTTAGCAAATATCTTTGGCGCAAGCTGCCTCAGTCTGTTTCCGAGCCTTCTACTAGTCGTGACTCCAGACGCCAGACAATTCTCACAGTCTGCTCATCCCATGGCTATCGTGTATGAGACATGTCAGCAATTAATCTTTGTGACACATTTTTTGGGAGGCTAGGTGCGTGCCTTGACACCTTTGATGACCAATCGTCCTGAAGTAATAGGTTTCCCGTCTCATTGCAGATTGATAATGTGATAAAGTGATATTTAAGCAAGTCAAGTCTATTGATATCTGCTTATAATGTTTCAGTGCAGTTAATAAGTCATTAGTCTGGTTCAGAAAATTTGACCCATGTGGGACTCGATCCCTGGGCCTGTGGATCTGTCCACAACACGGACATATTAATCTCAATCATTAGGGTTCTTTTCATAAAACCAATGAGATAGATACCAGTCAGAATCCGAACTCAAAACTGCTTTATCAACCCTCCATTTCAATTCTGAGTAAACGAAGGCTTTTGCCCTTATTTTTTTCTTCCTATACTCATATGGTAGTTTATATTACATTGTTCGTCGTAGATTTTTCATCATTTATAAAATCTTCGACTTATCTTAAAACTGAACATACAATCTTCAGACAACCGAACCTTTTGAGCGATTTCTTTTCATTGCAAGGAGTTTAATGATTGTTGAACGAAGAGAGAGTCTTCGTTATGGACTAGTTTGATCAATCGCCTGATTTCAGCCTTTTTTTCCTTCAAAATGTAAAGAACACATTGGCACCGTCCAGGTGTGGATAGTTTTCCTTTATACCTGAAATGTAAGGCAAAAATGTCAAAATTTCACACATCCCTGAACATCTGAAGAAACTCACGAGAAATATAATTTCAAATATAATTCTCGGCCTCTCGACAATTTAGAGAAAGTGTTACGTCGTAGTTGTCTCACTAGTCCCGCCCTATAGCAAGGATGTATAGTTTTTTTCCCACAAGCTCTCATGAAGACGGTGAAGGGCAAACTCTCCTCTTCAACCAGGCACTTATCCAAGTCCACATTCAATTGGTCCGCATCATGAAAACACCTTTTATTAAAAACGTGCGTGTCAATAAAAGATCGTCTTCACATTTTAGCTGCCGGCCTGAGGCTGGAATGGATCGTCTTCAAAAAGAGCGACCTTTTATAGTTCTTTTGTTTTATGAGACGTTTGTAGACTAATTGCACCTTCGAGGGATCTTTGAAGCCCACTATTCTAGACACTCCAAAAAATGGCGTCACGACACTGCAGAATGTTTTAGCTCGAAGTTGCCACAAGGGATTCAAATTTGCAGTTTATGAATGTCTTTTTGAATGTCATTTAAGTCTTGCCTGGATCGAATCTTAACGCCACCAACGATGATTTCATTTCCAATGCAGAAGCGTTGCAGGCCTCGCCTATCTACGAAGTATCTGGTATATTTTATTCGTGTAGTATATGGGAAGGCCAGATTGGTAGTGTGAATTCCTCTGTTGGCACATCTACTTTGAGATATTAAATTGTCCTGGAAGAATCAATGCATATCTGCAAGTCACGAATTGATTGGAACAGGCGCGATCCGTAATTGCCAGTCATTTGTAAGAGGTTTTTCTTGAGAACTTCCTGATGAATGATGGCCTCAATACTGATTTCCTCCATCTATCGTCAGACGGGGGAATGGCAAATTGGCAAAACATCATGGTCGCCCAGAACTAAAATGGGTTCATGACTAGAATTTAAAGTGGGCGTTGCTTACGCGAGGTTTGCTAATTGGAGTTATTCAGTGGATTGATTGCTATAGCACGGAGATATCTTTATGGCCTTTATTTAATATGTTGGACAGTTTGAATCCTCGATTTTGAAAAGTATACTGACTCTTTTTAAACCACTTGACTGTTCAATTCGTTCGGGATTACCGTTCAGTTTTAGAAGAGGAACATCCAGCATTAATTGTCGCTATACTTCTACTTCACGGGCCTGTAATTATAAGTGCTTGCATACGATCAGGATCATGCTCTCTAAGGCTGTCTCGCACCTGGTCTAGTCTCGTTACGTCTGCGTCTGGCATGATTGACAGGCAGCAGCAGTCTATAACAAATCTT